TTTTCTTCCTTTTCTTCACTTGTCGCCCCTGGGCCATCCTCCTTTTCCTTTCTTTCTTTACTTGTCGCCCCTAGGCCATCCTCCTTTTCTTTTCTTTCTTCGTCCACCTTCTTCTGCAGGACCATGGACATCAATTCTTTCAGCTCCATAGTACGCTGACTCGAAAGGGGTTTCGTACCAAGGTCGGCAATCATGATGGCGCCAGGCATGTGTCTCACTCGCCAGTCGAGGTTGGTGATTCTCCAGCGAACATGTTGTGCCCTCAGCCTCAAATGTCTGGTGCGCCAGTTGGCATGGCCATCGGAGAAGAACCCAGTGGCCGCAAGGTTGTCGACAAAGAGGGTCTTCACATAGAGTTCCTCATGCTCTTGGATCATGCTATCAACTGCATCACCAGTTTGGAGCCCTTCGATGGCTTCCAGCAGCTCCGACTCGGCAGTGGACAAGGCCGGAAATGGTTGGCGCCCGCTTTTCCAAAACATCAGCGCTCCATTCCACAACACCATCACAGCGCCATGGGATGCCTGGGTTTCCGGCGACGCTGCAAAGCTTGAGTCCGTGTAGACCTCCAATGACTTTGGTCCTCCATCCCATCCTCCTCCTTTTCCAGGAGGAAACTCAAGTCCTTCATTGGGAGTTGACTTCAAGTACTTCCAGACTTGGGTGGCTTGTTCAATCACCCAGGATGGATGTGGCAGAATTTCTTGTGCACATCGACTCGTAGCGAATGCTACATCAGGCCTTGTACGAGTTGACAACCACATCAGTTCGCCAACGAGCTTCTGGGCTGCATTGACCAACCCTGGAGTAGGCTCTTCCGGCATCGGAGCAGCATCCTTGGACATGGGGACTTTCATATTCTTTATATCTTGAATCCCTTCTTTGTCCTTGATGTAGTCTTCTTGCGATGCCCGATATCCTCCTTCGACTGTTTTGGTGATCTCCATGCCCAGGAACTTGACCTTGTCCTTTCCCACTTCTTCAGGTGTGGAGGTCTCCCATTGGGCCTGTAGGACTTGGATCACCTGGTCGACGGTCTTCTCATCACTTGTAACCATCAGGTCATCAACGTAGACCAATAGGAATCCAACCATCTTTTCTTCACATTCTTCATCTTCACCATCGCCGAGCATGATGCTCCATAGATTAGGCTCAGCTTCGGCCTGGACAAAGCGATGTCCTTGTGGTGAGGTCAACTTCCTCAGCACCTGGTCACGGTAGACCCCCCAACAGCGCGGAGACTGGCGGAGACCATACATAGCCTTTTGAGCCAGGTAGTAGTCCTTGGGCCCCACATGGCCCGTCTTCAGAAGAAGGGATGGTGGCTTCAAGACCACCATGGTCGGCTCCTGACCTTCAGCTTCGATGTCCAGCGGCGCATTGAGGAAGGCTGTTCGAATGTCCAGCACTGATGCCTTCCAGCTCTCTTCAGCTGATCGCTTCAGGACGTAGCGAAGGCAAACGGCGTCCGCACCTGAGGCATACAGGCATTGATCCTTCTGTTCCGCTGATGCTGGGTCAACGAAGTTGCCGCAAGCTACCAGTCTGATCTTTCTTCTTGGACCAGGCTTCAAGGTGATCACTACCTTCGAGGGCAGCACCTCCAACTTTCTACCCCACTTTTCTTGAAGGGACTTGAACTCATCTTCATCGATCCGGCGGAGAGCCTTTTTCTCCTCAAACAACTGGTGAAGCTCTTTCCGGATTGCTTCGTCCCATTGTGGAGCTTCACGAAGGAGTTCCTTTGGGGAGACCACCCTGGTTCGAAGAACTGGTTCCTCCTCCTTAGGCATAGCGCTTT